AAATTTTGGTCAATGACATGAGACAAAGTATATGTGAACTGCTGTATGAAAAGTGAATTTACTCTGTAAATCTTCACCCAAATCCTAATTAAAAAAAAAAAAAGATTACAGCTAAGAAAATTGTATGGAGCAGTTCTACTCTGTAATAAACTGAGTCACCCTGAGTCAGAAATGACTCAATGGCAACCAATAACAACAAGGGACTTGGGAAGCAGCACACTTCAGAAGAAAGAACACAGGATATGGGATCAAAAGATATCGCTCCAAGCCCCAGCTTGCTCCTTCCATTCTCTAATTCATTTTCTCACTGATTACTGCAGATTTTCCACAGGGAGGAAGGCAAGCTGTACATATATGGCTACATACAAAAAATGGAAGGCAAGAAATACAAAGTAAGATCTCCTTCCCTGGTATATTATAAAAGTTAAAGGACAGATTGACACAATCTCAAATATTTAACTACTTTTAACTATCCCCAACACTGTGCTAAGATTTAAGAGATAAACAAGTAGAAGACTTAGCCCTTGACCTCAAAAAGCTGACAATCTCATTAGAAAAATAGGCTAAAAACTTCAAAAAGAAGAATAAAAAGCCACAAAATATGTAGTATAGACTAGATATCTTTTGGAAGGGAAGATCTTAGGGAAGGAAGAAATCCAAGTAGACAAGAGTCAGGAAAAACTGTGAAAGTAGGAAAAACTTTCACAGAAAAAGTAGGACCTGAACTAGATTATGAAGAGAAGGTAAGACTCAGGCACACAGAAAAGGAAAGAAGACGTCCTAGGACAGGGATAAGAGTATATAGATGAAAGAGACAGAAGACATATCTGTCGGGGGCAAGGGGCATTTATTAACTCCACTCTGTTGCCATTTCCTGAACACAATAGGCTCTGCACAGACCCTCTATCCCACAGCTTTCCCGACTCCTTGCTGCCAATTCACACCTTTCACTTCCTTCTAAATTCAATTCAAAAAGGCATCCAAAGCTGATCTCTGATCATTCTGTTCTCATGTCTACTCATTGTAAATACATACTTAATTCGCAATACCTGAGTCTGCAGGTTATGTTAATGTCCCAAAAAGATTGTGAAAGTCAATTAAGTTTTTATTTAATGAGGAAGGCACTTCTAGTCATTTATACACAATATTACTTTATCATGACAAAGTACTTGGATATCAGTACACCTGTGAAGCAAGCAGAACCAGTGTTATAGTCCTGCCCCTCTTTTACAGATGAGGAAAATGAAGGTGAAAAAAATTACTTATCAGTTGTTCTCAAAATGTGAGTGCCAGACCACCACCACCACCACTCCCAGGAACTTGTTAGAAATGCTAATTCTCAGTCCCCACTCCAAATATACTAAGTGAGAAACTCTAGAGGTAGAGCCAGAAAATGTGTGTTAACAAGCCCTCCAGGTGATGCTCTTGCTGGTCAAGAGTGAGGTCCACTTTACAAGGGACATCACGCTCAATTGGCATAAAAGACTACACAAAAACATTGTTCTATATCCTACTTTGGTTGAGTAGCAACAGGGGTCTTAAAAGCTTGTAAACAGCCATCGAGATTCAACTACAGGTCTCTCCTCGTCCAGAACAAAGAATGAAGAAAACCAAAAGATGCATGGAAACAATTAGTACAAGGGACTAGCAGACCATGTGATTCTCAGCCTATATGACCATGAGACCAGAAGAACCTAGATGGGTTCCCAGCTACCACTGTCAACCACTTGGAGGGGGATCTATGTAGGAAATCCTAGACAGAGTGGGAGAACAATGTGAAACAAAACTCAAAATCATAAAAAACCAAAAAGACCAGATTTGTTCGTTTGATAGAGCCTGGTGAGACCCCTGAGACTATGGCCCCTAGTTACCCTTTCGGTCTGGAACTGAACTCACTCCTGTGGCTTCCAGCCAAACAACAGACAGGCATATAAGCTCAACATTTACATTAGGTAGATATACTCCTTGGAGTGATCAATTGTGAGAGAACAGAAGGACAGTGTTTGCACAGGGAGACAGTTTGGGGGCAGGAGTGCATGGGAGGGAAGGACACAAGGAATAGGTAACTATAGCCAGGAAGTGGTAAGAGAGCTGTTACACTGTAGGGAATTGCAATCAGTGTCAGGAAACAAAATGTGTATAAACTGCTGTATGGAAAATGAATTTGTTCTGTAAACTTTCACCCAAATCACAATACAAATTTAAAAAAAGAGAGTGAGGACCACTAATCTAAAGGCACATACAAGGCATACAGCCAGTACGCAGCAGAACCCAAAACCAAACCCACTGCCATCAAGTTGATTCTGATTCACAGCGACTCTATAGTACAAAGTAGAACTATCCCATGGTTTTCACAGCAGTAAATCTTTATGGGAGCAGACTGCCACATCTTTCTTCCAGAGCGGCTGGTGGGTTTGAACCACCAACTTTCTGGTTAGCAGCCAAGTTTAACCACAGCACCACCAGGGCTCCCGAAGCAGCAGAACTGGAGCTCAAATCTAGGCCTTCTACCCCTAAGTTTACTGCTCTTTCCATTCAATTCCACTGGCTGCCATAAGTGTGCTCTATCTCCCTAACTAGACTGTAACCTCCTTGAAAGTAAGGGTCCAATCAAGTAAACAGAGTCTATGCCAGGTAGTTGAACTTGAAGTAGTATGCCACCTTTTATCTATCTACAAATGTTTTATTTTCCAAATGTCTCTGTAACTATTACCTCTTTTGATTCTTAAGTCTTCCCTAATGAAGGCAAAACATATGATGTTCTAGAACAGAGGGCATTGTATGCACAAGAAGACAACTTGGGGCAGGAATGCATGGGAAGGAAGGACACAGGGAAGTGGTAACTACGGGGAGGAGTGGGAAGAGAGCTGTTACATTGTGAGGGATTGCAGTCAATGTCATGAGACAAAATGTGTATGAACTGCTATATGAAAAATCAATTTGCTCTGTAAATTTTCACCTAGATCACAATAAAAATTTTTAAAAATACACAACACATGATATCTACCAATGATGAAATTTTACCAATGATGAAACAGTATAGTCATTAGCTACGTTACTAAACATTTATTGCACAACATCTTCAGTTCTGTTTTGTACGCATTAACTTATTTCACTATCACAACAACACTAGGAGGTACATACTACTACTATCTTCATTTTATACATAAGAGGACTTTATTAGAAAGGTTGCAAAAACAGAGCTCATGCTAGATCATTTCAATAGAGAGAATTTAATAAAGGGAACAAAATAGAGAAGAACTGAAAAACCAAATGGAACAGTGAGGCGACCAAGATTAGCAACATAGAAAGCTACTACCATCCCCAGGGCTGAAAAGAGAGATGTGCTATTATCAGAGACAATAACCAGAGCTGCCCAGCAAGAGCTAGAACCAAGCAGGAGAAATAGCCGTGGCCAGAGACACTGCCCAAGCAGAAGGAGAGAAACACTGTGGTATCCCTTTCTCCTATCTTGCAGTCATCCCCCAGTATCTCTTACTGGCCAAAGGTAACTACAAAGAAGCCTGAAAAATGCAGTTTGGAAGTGCAGAACATGGATCTAAGGCGGAACGGGTAAATACAGGCAAGGAAATAGTCACAGATGGGTTATGGGAATTACCTAACAGTGTACACTTAGTAACCGGCAGTGCCAGGACTCAGGAGTCTGTATCCACAATCCCTGGTCTTAATCTCAGTGCAGTGGAACTGTCCAAGGTTATATGGCAAGTTACAGCAGAGCCAAGACCAAGAGAACCCAGGGTCCCTGACTCATATTCAAAGATCCTCTTTCCCTCCGTCCCATTCACATCCCCATCTTATTAGGCAATACGTTTAAAACAAAAGTTGGTCAAGTTTATGCTAAAGAGACGGTCAAGGCCACCAGTTAGGTGTCAGACAGAATGTACTTCAAAAAACAAAGACTTTTGAGCCTAAAAGGAGTCTCTCTTAAACTTTATAGTGCATAAAGATCATCTAGAACTAGAAAGCCTGTTCAAATGTAGATGATGAGGTTTGCTACACCAATCAGAGGGACCAAGAATCTGTACTTTTAACAAGTAATCCAGGTGATTCTGATGTACTTGCAATCAATTCTTTGAGAAACGCTACTTTAAAAAGTTCAGACTGCAAAACAGGCACAAATAGCCCCACTCTAAGAAATGAAAATCTAAGAATTAAGTTCTTCTCCGGAAATACCACTCTTAGCAGAAGAACAGAAAGACTTCAAAGAACTAAATGTCCATGGACTCCAAGTTAGGTTTCAACCATCTTACAGACCCATCTCACTAACCTTGGCTGCCAAGGGTGGAGGCAGCTGTGTGGTAGGTCTCACAATCCACACAAAATGTTCCTTGCTTCTCTGCCCCAAGCATCTCCAATTTCCGGGTGAGGAGCTCCACGGTCTGCTGGACACTCTTGCCCTCAGCCACAGGCATCTGGGAAACACTGGAAGCGATGGGAGCAAAATCATCAGTATCCAGAGACAAAACACGCAATCACTGAGCCACTCACTCACAGAATCGTAACTCATCAGACCAGGAGTTTCCTTATAGACCACCTACTCTGATCCCCTCATCCCTGAGAGCTCCTCTAGAAACTAGAGTATAGGTCTTAGGACTGTCACACCAGTGCAGTGAACTTCTTATCACACCAGCATTTCCCAAGTGTAGCATGTGTGCCAACATTCAAGGGAAGATTTTAGGTGTCACATAGACTGAGCATTCACTGAGTAGTAGTATCAAGGGAAAGGGGTACCCTCTGCAATTCTTTCAGTTTTAACTACATCAAGGAGAACTAACTCTGTTTTTACCAACTCTAGCACTCTGAACTAGGACTATATAAGTACAGTGGCCACTAACCACATATGATGATTTTAATTAATTAAGACAAAATTTAAAATTCAGTCCCTCAGTTGAAGGGTTACCCACACTTCAAGAGCTCAATAGCCACATGGAGCTGGGGGCTAGTGTATTGGACAGTGCTGATATAGAACATTTCCATCACTGTAGAAAGTCCTACTCAACAGCCCAAGAACAAAGAGAAAAGAGGCCTCAAGTTTATAATCCTTGGGGATAGGAGACAATAGTATCTACGATCAATTTAATCAACACCAAAACCAAACCAAACCCACTACCATCGAGTCAATTCTGACTCACAGCAACCCCCACTGGGCTTCCAAGGCAGTAAATCTTTACGGAAGTAGATTGCCCCATCTTCCTTCCACAGAGCGGCTGGTGGGTCTGAACCACCAACCTTCTGGTTAGCAGTCAACTGCCTTAGGCACTGCACCACCAGAGTTCCTTAATCAATACAATGAAACAAAGATGTTATTTATGTCCAAGGTTTCCTTCTATGGTGAGTGAAACTTGACTCCTTTTTAGAATGATAGATAACAATTACCAAGCACCTACTCTGTGCCACGCAGTATCCTAAGGCCTTTAGATAGATTAATTCTATGAATCCTTTGTTGTTGTTGTGTACCGTCGAGTCACACCTGACTCATAGTGACCCCTCCTTGGGTTTCCGAGGCAGTATCACTACGGAAGTAGGATTGCCCAACCTTCCTTCCGAGGAGTGGCTGGTGGGTTTGAACCGCCAGCCTTCTGGTTAGCAGTCAAGTGCCTTAGCCACTATGCTACCAGAGCTCCCTTACAACAGCTTTATACGAGGTGCTACTACTTATCTCTTTGTTATAAATGAGGAAAGTGAGATTGTTGTTGGCTACCATAACTTGCCTGAAGTCACACATTTAATGTATACTGTAGCCAAGATTCAAAGCCAGACAACATTGCTCCCAAGTCTACACTCTTATCCACTCTAACTAGACCGCCTCTCTAAGGACACAGATATTGTTAACATACATTTACGGATAAAAATAGATTTAAAAGAAAACATTAATAGTACAGGTGGTATTTAACTATGGCAAAAATCATGAAGACAGCCAAATATGACTGAACTTTGGAAGCCACTGAATTACTTGATCAACCAACTAAATGAAGTTATTAGGGTCCTAATACTGCTAAAATTTATCACTGCTCTCTATTAGAAGAAGTACTAACAAACAATGGTGATGAGCCTTATTTTTACATATAAGAGGATGCCTGAACTGAAGCTATGAGGAAGAGAAGTCCTAGGATTCTGGGTGGGGTGGTAAGGGTCCCAACAGATGGAGAGCAGGGGGCTTCTAGGATTGTGCTGCAAACTTTTTATCCTCATCCCTAATATATCCCTCTTACATTCTTACACTGCAAGGCTCAGAGGAGGATCACAGATAACAACTATGGGAAACATGGATGTAATCACTTGCAAGCCTGCAAGAGCCTGGGCTACCAGGAGAAAAAGATATTTCTGTATGCTTTTATATGTGAATCCTATAGCTACTGACTTCACATATCCTAACTTCCAGCCCTCTTTGACTGGAAAAAATCTTTAATACCTTTGAATAGACTGATATTTAAAACTTCTGAAACCTAGCACTTTGGAAATAATGCCTCTGAGAGCATTAGGCCCACCTTTTCCTCTTCTAATTGAGTCATAACATGTTAGAAATAAAAGGGCCATAGAAACTAGACAAGTATGTAATCCAACAATGTAGGAAACACGTCCTGGAGAGATGAAGCAACCAGAAGCCCTATCTCCTAACTCCCAAAGGCTTTATTTTTTTCTTCTAGACTCGAGATGCTAAAATGGCCAAACTGGAACCAGACATAGACTGGTCTCACTGTTTTCTCCTTGCCTATGCCCCGCTCCCTCCAGTCTTGCCTACTGATGGATACCAGACCAAAATCCTCTTTCCGAGGCTGAAGTCCAACTCCTGGAAATACTATGGCCTCACAGAAGAAAAAAGGAAGAAAGGGCACAGCACTAATGGGGTTCTGGGATAAAATCTGTTATTTGCCGCCTTCCAGAAGGAAGGGGCTCACCTTTGAGGAAACAGGCCCGAAGAACCCGCAGCTTGTCCCTTTCATCCACACAACCCGGAGACATCTTGCTCATCTCCCAGTGGGAGGGCGGACCCTGGCCGCAATCTTCCTCCCAGGTCCACTCGAAGCTCCTAGGATCCTTCACGATCCCAAGTCCCGCCCCAAAAACTCCCGAACGGTCCTCGCAGTCCTACCAAGTCACTCCCATGGTGCCAAGCCAGGAGGATGGCAGCTTCTAACAGTTGAAACACAGCGCTCTCGTAATGAAATCCCCTATAGCAAGCTTCGGTCGGAGGGGCTCCGGAAATTACGTAAAAACAGAGCGCCCAGTCGACGCGCTCACGAGCATTGAAGACCCGCCGGGATACACCCTCTCGGTGACGCATCCAGTGACGGAATCTGCTCAACTCTCACCCACCGGCTTTCTGCTTCAGAAACCACTAGACACCTGAGGCCTGGTTCCATGAAGATAGGGAAACAAGGCTCAGACTGCCACCACTTAGAGAAACCAGCGTTAAAGGCGATGAATGATGTATTCGTGTATCCAGCTCCAAGGCTCATGAACTCTTGTAGGGGTTCGGGTAACGCCGATGGCACTTCTGGCCTCCGAACTCTGAGGGGCGCTGTGCTCTATGCGTGGCCTCTTGGGAAATGGGAGTTCACTGCGCAAGCGCCCTTGGTTTCTTTCCTCCGTCCCCACGTGTGAATCTTACCGGCAACTTTTCTGAGAGAAATGCCCAAATTTAAGGCGGCCCGCGGGACCGGAGACCGGGAAAAACATGCCCCCTTGGCGGAGCAGATCCTGACTGCGGACGCAGTGCGGATGGGGTCCCGGGAAAAGCGGAGAGGCCGGGGGACCCGAGAAGACGAAGAATATGTGGGGCCCCAGCTGACCCGAAGGATTTTGCAACAAGCGCGGCGGCAGCAGGAGGAGTTGGAGACTGAACATGGGACTGGAGACAGGGCCGCGGCGCCGAGGGAGCGCACTACGCGGCTGGGTGAGCGGCAGGTGTGGGGTGGGGTGCAAGGAAGGGAGCGCTTTGTTGGAGATGTACGACATAAAAGTGACTGGCAAGGGAATAGCCTGAACGCAAAAAAAAAAAAAAAAAAAGGTCCATACTACACTCTTAAGGAGCTCTGGTGGCGTAGTGCCTAAGGCATTGACTGCTAACCAGAGGGTTGACGGTTCAAACCCACCAGCCAGTCCGCGGAAGGAAGACTGGGCAATCTACTTCCGTAAAGATTTACCGCCTTGGAAACCTAAAGTGGTTCGCTATGGGTCGGAATCAACTCGATGTTACTGAGTTTGGTTTTTCGGTTTGGTTACACTCTCACAATGGAACCGGAATAGGAGACCTAGCCCTGGAGCGAATTCAGGGCGGTCAGAGTCCCACCACGCCCACTCCTAGTTTTAGGCACTTACTCCTAGGCACCCCGAAGGTAGGCCAACCAAGTTTTCCATTTGTTGTCCATTTCCAGTTACTCATTTGTTTCATAAATATGTATGGGGTGCCTACTACGTGCTTCGCGCTGTGCTAGGAGTTTGGATATAGAAATGAACGAGTTAGACACTGTCTGACTTCTGGACCTAACAGTCTTGGAGAGAGATCATTAAATGGACAATTAAAATAATATATTCCATAATAAGGAAAGTACAGTTTCTCCAGTGACGAATAGCACATAGTCTCAGGTGTCAGGGAGAGCTTTCTAGACTACGTGATCTTTCAGCTGACACCTGAAAAATGGCTTGGTTAGCTAGTGCTAAGACATCATACGTCTGTTTTATGGCTGCCTCACCTCTCAGTCTTCTTTGCTGGCTCTTCTGTTGTTTCCAGGCTCTAATCATTGAAGTGCTGCATGGCTGAGTCCTTGGACCTCTTCTCTTAAATACATTCTCTGGTGCTGTCATCAAGTTTCATGGTTTGAATATTATCTATTTGGTGACTACTCCCAACTTTATATTCCAGTCCTGATCTCTTCTGTGAAACCCAGATTCAGTGTTACATTCTCCTTGGCATCTCCAATTGGAGGTCTAGTACACATCTCAAATTTAACGTATCTAAAACTGAAACCTGACCTTTCTTCCCAGAGCAGCTCCTCCTACTGTTTTCCTCATCTCAGTTTGTAGTATGATATCCTTCCCATTGTTCAAGACAGAAACCTTGGACCCTACTCCTTCTCACACTACACCCGATCTGTCAAGAAATCATGTTGCTTCTACCTTCAAAATATGTCTAGAATCAGACCACTTCTCACCACTTTGGAACTTTACCCCGTTCCAAGTCATTGTGGTGTCTCCATTAGATTATTGCAATAGCCTCCTGATTAGTATTTCATACCCCTACAGTCCACTCACAACAGCTAGAGAATTGTAATAGCCTATAAAGCCCTTGGGAGCTCCGGTAGCACTATGCAAGCCTAAGGCACTTGTCTGCTAACCAGAAGGCTGGTGGTTCAAACCCACCAGCCACTCCTCAGAAGGAAGATTGGGCAATCCTACTTCCATAGTGATACTGCCTCGGAAACCCAAGGAGGGGTCGCTATGAGTCGGGGCCGACTCGACGGCAAATAACAACAACAACATAAAGCCCTTAGCAACTTTACCCCCTTACCAGTCTGGCCTCTTACACTGCTTTCCCCTTTGTTCTGTCCACTTCACACTCTATACAGGCTTCAGTATTCCTTAAACATGGCAGTTCAGAGTCTTTACCCTGGTTATTCTTTCTGCCTGAGCTGTTCTGTCCCCTATACGCCTGTAGGCTCACTTCCTCAATTCTTCACTTTCTCAAGGAGGCCTACCCTGGACATTCTCTTTAAAATTGCAATACCCCACCCCTTCTCTACTCTATTCCAACTATATTCCAACTTCTGTACTCTTCCCCCTGCCCCCGCTTTTTCCTCCCATAGCCCTTTTTTTCTTTTAACCTAATATATTTACTTGCTAACGTTTGTTCCTTGCTGTGTTAGTTGTGCATCAACTTGCCTGGGCCTTGGTTTTGAGTGGGTTGGCAGCTGGCTGTAGTTATTCCCCATGATGAGACTGTAATCACCTCCATAGTGGGATCTGCTGTCAGCAGCTAAGTAGTTGAAGGGGAGTGGCCTGCTTTGGGGTGTGGCCTGCTTCCAGAATGTATGGAGAAGCTTTGAGAAAGATCTCTAGCTTTTTGGCACATTTGGATTCTGCATTTGGCTGAGTCCTCATCTCAGTTTCTGGACTTGAACCAATGGCCTGCCATGTTGCCTGCTGATCTTGTAATTATACCGTTTTACCTTCTGACCTCGGGTTCATCAGCCTCAGCAGCCAACAGCTGCCTGAGTTAGGAGACACCTCCAGCTCCAGTGGGCCTGGAACAAGAGGCAGAGCTGAAGCCCAAGGCTGAGGGGTCTTCACCCAGCCCCTAGAGCAGGTACTCTGAATTCGGACTTTTATCCTCCTAAACTGTAAGAGAATAAGTTTCTGTTTGTTAAAGCCATCTGCTTCTATTTCTGTTACAGCAGCACTAGAGAACCAAGACACCTCTCTCCCTTAATTAGAATGTAAGCTCTACAAGGACAAAAAAGTTGCTTTTGTTTACTACTCTATTCCCAGCACCCAGAACAGTGCCTCTTATGTAGCAGGCACTCAATGTTTGCTGAGTGAATGGATTAATTAATTATGGTGAGGTAGGTAGGAGCCAAGTCTACAAAGGACCTAGAGGCCATGCCTGGGATTTAAAGCCATCTTGAAGGCACAGGGAAGCTATTGAAGAGTGTGTTGAGTACAGGACTGACCAAATCAAATGTGTATATTTAGAAAGTTATTCTGGTTGCAGAGTGGAAAATGAGTTGGAGGAAAGCACGGTTGGAAGTAGGGAAACCAGTTAGGAGATTCTTGAATTAATCCAGGAAAGAGATGATGCTGGTCTAGGGCTGAAGGATTTGAGAGAGATTCTGTGAAGTAAAAGAGGGCATGGTAATTGATTGAGTGTTGGGGGTAAGGGTGCAGGACAAGGCAGAACTGCCTTCCAGGTTCTGATAAGGCATTGGGTGGATGGTGGCACCATTTACCAAAATGGAACACCATAAGTGGTACAGACTCAGGAGGGAATGAAAATGAGTAGCTTGATGATGTGATGTTTGAAGTGCCCATGAGTCACCTAAGAACAATTGGAGTTAGGACCCAGACCCAAGAAGTGAAATCACTTACAAGTACAGACTTGGGAATTGTTGGCATGTAAAGATAAAATGTCTCACTACCCTTGCTGCTGTTGTTATGTGCCATCGAGTCGGACCCAACTCATAGTGACCCCTCCTTGGGTTTCCGAGGCAGTTTCACTACGGAAGTAGATTGCCCAACTTTCCTTCTGAGGAGTGGCTGGTGGGTTTGAACCGCCAGCCTTCTGGTTAGCAGTCAAGTGCCTTAGGCACTACGCTATCAGAGCTCCTCTCACAACCCTTACTGATATCTTTTATCATACACTGCCACTGCTCTTAGGGACCTGCTCACAACTAGCATATCTTCCCACTTGGATTTACACCCCTTCCCAGATGCCCAGCTACCTGTAGCCTTCTAAAAATCAAGTATTCCAATCTGAACTCTACTGCCTTGCCTTCAAAGCCCTCCACAATCTTTTGTCAGTCTACCCATGTAGCCATATTTCTTGCCACTGCCTAACAGACATTTGTAAAATGAGCCCTTTTGCTAGTGCTGTTATCTGAGTATGGAACGCCTTCCTCCAACTTCCAAACTGCCTGGCCAGGCCCAACTGTCCTCAGCACTCATCATCTTCCAGTGCCTATGAAAGATACAGTCTTGACCACTTATTTTGGCCTGTAATCAAGCTCTGCTAAATGTGTAGAATAGTTGTGAGGGATACAGAATCTAGACTCAGACTATCTGCCTTTGGCAGATTTTTTTTAATTGTGATTTTGGTGAAAGTTTACAGAGCAACTTCATTTTCCATACAACAATTCATACACATTTTGTTTTATAACATTGATTGCAATCCCCACAATGTAACAACTCTCTTTCTACTTCATCCCTGTGATTACCTTTTGCCTGTGTCCTTCTTTCCTATGCATTCCTGTCCTCTGAGCTGTCTCCCTGTGCAAATGTGCTTTTCTGGTCTCCCATGGTTGATTGTTCTAAGGACTATAGGCAGATTGCTTTTCTGTGTTTCATTGCCCTCATCTGAAACTGGGTGTAATAATGGTACCTATTTCTTGGGGTTATGAGGATTAACTAGTTAACACATGTACAGTGTTTTAGAGGAATT